CTCTCTCTCTCTCTCTCTCTCTCTCTCTCTCTCTCTCTCTCTCTCTCTCTCTATATATATATACACATTTCAATAGTTAATTTATTTTTTGTACAGCTTGGTTATTTGTGTTAATTTTTTTAAATCATACAGTATTGAATAACAAATTTGTAAAAAAAATTACCTCGCCGTCAAAATGACTTCTAACAATAATTGTAGTGAAGGATATGCGATCCACTGGACAAGTATTGATGTTTTTACTCCATTCCAATAAACATTCTAAACAGAAGCAATGGTCGCATTCAGATGGGATACCAACTTGCTGTTTTCTAAATGGTAGCAGACATATAGGACATTTTTCCGACTGATCATCACTGCTATCAGAGTTAGCGTTGGCATTAGTTAATGAAGAGGAACCAGGTTTATTGGCATTCTCACTTTTACTTTTAGATAAAACTTTACGCTTAGCAGTACATTTATAAGTATCGCTTGATTCATCTGAACTAGTCCAATCACTTTCCCATTCGGATGTACTACTGTCTGTAATATGCGTGGATCTGCTTTCTTCGCTACTATTAGATTCGTCATTAATAACTCTCTGCAATAAAATGATATTAATGAAGATATGTCATCATCAATAAATTTGGCTAAACATTTCTTTAAAAAATAAAACAGTCATAATACTTACATGGTTTTGTCGTCTAATCACAGGCTTAGGTACATCACTATCGCTGCTGCTTTCTCCTTCACTAACGACTCTCTGGAACAGTAACATAAATGCAAATTAATGTAAATTTTTAACAATTTGTTCGCTTAGAAATAAGACCATATAAATAAAATTAAATGGGCTATGCAAATTAGATTTAATAGATTCCACAAATACAGTTAGAATTAAACATTTAATTTAATCAATATTTAAAGATACTGTGTAATAATTAAAGCACTTCTAAACGTACAAGTTTCTTCTTTCTTCGAATTTGTACAATAACAGATTCATCGCTGCTATCACTGTCACTAATGACAATTTTTTTGCGTTTATGATTATGATGACGTATCAAACAAGTATTATCGCTGTCGCTTGACATCTTGTCTATCACTACAATTCATACCCCCTGAATTCTTCTCATAGATCTGTAACCAAGAATTCATGTCAATTTACATTCACTGTACTGTCCATTTTCAATAAAGTAACAAACAAATCGTTCTCCATTTTAATTCCACCAAAAATATCGCTCGGTTTCTCATTGTAACAACGGAAGCAATATACAAATTTATTTCGCGTTAGTTTGCGAGCGACTCCCGTGCGATATCCTAAACAGAACAATCTAAATGAGGATTACTCGATGCTGCGCGATGCGCCCGCTTCGAAATCTCAAATCGTGACCAAATCGTCCCACACGACGATGATCGACATCTGGGAAACGTCGTCGGCTCGGTTATCCTGATGAGCTGCAGGTGGATGACGGCGTCGTCGCGGTGGACGATCCCACGATTCCGCGCGCGCTCTCGGCGTTGTCGACGACGGTTCACGAAAGCCGTTGCTGATCCCGCGTCGCAGTCGCACCCAGTAGTTCTCGATGCCGTGGAAACGGGCTCGTGGGAACGTATCTAGGACCGCACCGATGCGAGTTGACCAGAGTTGACGCTTCTCGATTTCCGTCCCGCTTCGTTCTTACTCACTCTCTCTCTCTCTCTTTCTCTCTTCCTCACTCCGTCCCTCTCGTTCTCTTACTCTCGGTGTTGCTTCTGATTCCTTCCGTGATCGTGTCGCACGCCGACGAATCGCGGGCATGCGACACCGATCCCACGATTCTCGTACGGACGGAACGGCTTTGAGCCGTTCGCGCCGGAATTATCTCCTCTGACTCTCTCCTGCGGCAGTATGTCGAAAAGTAACGCGTTCTATCGTGAGACTGCGGACATATTGGATCGCGGACGCCGTGCTTGCCGTAGTGGTGTGTATGGATATAACGTTATGACGTCACTTCCGGCCTCGCATTTCAGACGAGGCTCTAGTACGGGAAACGTCGCGCGTAGTACCCGATCGAACGGAAGTGAGCGCACTGTCGTACGATTTGAATTTGAACGAGCGATTTGAAAAGAGATGAAAATTACAAAAGTAAACAAATTCATTAAATGTTGACCAATAAAATTATAAATATTTTGGTAAATTTGTTTACTTAGGCTATGTTCCAAAACTTCCCCTCCGAGGAAAATTTTGAGAGGATCCCGTTTGCCAACAATTTTGATTGTACACACCACTCATATCAACTGGTGCCTAGTAATTTTTTACTGTTTTGCCAATG